TTGATGCTTATAGAGATATCTTAAAATACAATCCAAAATATTGATACGAGGTATACTTCTCAACACAAGCTATTTATGATGTTATTGATAACAATCGATAGAGGCTTTCAATAAGAGTATTATTGAAGCTAGGTGCAAATCAATCCTAATAATGCTTGAGCAAATCAAGATGCAAGTTAAGAGGAGATTGCACACTGTAAGAGATATGATCGCCAAATAAATTAGAGATATTGACACGAGGGTTAAAAAAGAATTACATAAAATATCTAAAAAATGCATACTGATTTATACATTGGAATATAGCTCATAGTTATGAGATTAGAAATAATGGGGTTACTACAAAAGAAGGGTCTATGATGGATCCGAATTATAGAGTACATGTTCTTATAGGGTTTGATAACTTTACGAAATGCCATATTACCATACAATTTTGGTAATTATTGACAACGAATGAAGGAGAGCCTAAGGACTATGTCTATTATATATTGAGAAAAGATACATATATGGAGACATATTAGTTTATGATGCGGACAATCAATGGTGTCCAATTCTAACCTAAGATAGATAAACGTCATACTTAACCACCATCATTCTAGAAGATTTTAGGCAAGCGATGAAATAATAGATATAAAGAAGTTGGGGAACAACCTAGTGGGGGCAATTAAACCGTGTAGGCATGAAAGAAAAATGACTTGTAATTTTTGTTATGAACAATGTCAAAATAAAGTCACATGCCCTAAAAAAACAATCCGTAATTTAAACCTTTCGGACCACCACCGGAAAGATTTGTAAGACATTTTTATCTTTGAATATATTCTATTTTATTTTTTACTTTTATGTTCCATAATGTGTAATATTTATGTTTTTTTTTTCAGATGGTGAAGAGACAAAAATGATCAACTAGTATAACTGTTCCACCAAGTACACCAATACCTTCACCAAATGTTATTCCACCAAGTACACCGAGTACCTACACCAATTACTACTTCATCAAGTGCATTAGTACTTTCACCAACTACTCGCTCCACCAAGTCATTCAAGTGGTTTTTGGTTTCTAACACCAAGAGAAGTTATTATTGGACCGGTTCCGGACCATTAAGTACTCACAAAATGAAACAACCACCAAGAAGGTTTGGTTGTTATGTTGGTGGGGTAATTCTAGGCTTTTAGTATGGAATATAAGTAAAAAAAAAAAACATAATTTATGCATTATGGTTGTTTTGTTGATTGAGTGATATGCAATCCGGGCTGATACTAATATTGATGTGATGTTTGTCTTCGTGTGAATTTTATCAATTTGGTAAGACTGGTGACATATGCTATGTATGCTAAAAAAAATATAACTATTAATGTGATCGCATCATAAATATTAGAATCTTTGAGTTATGCAAAAAGAATAAGAGAAAGGCCCGGAAAAGCTACTCGTCAAGATTCAAATGCAATTTCCACGACTTTTCATGAGCAATTTACATATAGAAAAGGAAAAAGTGTAAAAATGTTACAAATGTTCTAACTTCTACTACTTCACCAACTATAGCTTTGACAATAACACATGGTTAGTCTCAAAGAAAAAGAGGGAAAAAATGCAAAAAAATCTTAAAATTAAAACTCAAGAATCATTAATATAGGTGTTCAAGATCCAACGTGTTTGCATGGTTTGAATATTATATTATTGCATATTTATTAATAAAGAAGTCTTTCTATTAATTCATGTTATTTATAACTTGATTGCATTATATAGAAGTCCATATGATGTTCATTGCTTTGATGATTGATAAATAGATGTGAAACAAATACCAATGCACTTAAATAAAATAATTAAATATCTCAAGTTATAGCATTGTTAAAATTGGATATTAAAAATATACGGTAAGACTTGTGTTTGCTATGCTCTTGCTATAGGATAAAAGTAGGAGATCTCACACCTACTAGCATGGCGATGCCTAATCAAGCACACGAGTGAATACCGTTAGAAAATATATCACTCAACATGACTTTTCATGACAACCCATTGGTATAGTCTATGAGAATATTATATGACATGAGTACAAGTATTCTTTTGACTTGAAGTAATCATGATTATCTCATTAGAGAATTGGTTGGCTTTTACATTCGTTACGATGGGTCTAATAAAGAACCGCACATGGGCGATTTATTATGTATATCGAGAATCTAAGAGAAATAGGTAGATAACTAAAATATGTAGCCAAAATCTTTTATAGGGCTTTGTAGTCGTCGAGTATTACCATTGTCAATGACCAATTGGTATGTAATATTATTTTTCATGCAAATTTTCTATTGTTGTGTTTAGATAATCTATTAAAACAACTTCATTTTTTGTAGTAATTTTGTGTTTCTTTACGCAAAGTTAATCATCTCTTGTATCTCTATTCCTCCAATGCCACTCTTTTTTGTTGTCTTCCTTTCTATGTTTTTCCTCATTTCATTAGCTATATACACATTCACAATAAGATGAAAAAGTAAATTAACGGTAATCAAATGTTATACTAACAACAAATCAAGGAAAAGATAAGTAACTCAATAGGCTTCTTAGGTGCACCCACTCATATAAGCTTCATATGAGACTCTAACGATCCCAACAAGTTTGTTCCATTGAAAACTACGCTTATGTTATTTTGAGAATGAGATGAAGGCTTAGATTTCTTAATTAACTCTATATTTTTATTAGCATTCTTGAAAATCAAATTTATTTTTTGACATCATGACTACACAAGATAAATAATTTATTATTTTATAATATTTGTGAATTGTGTATTATAGTTTCTAGTATATACATCAATTTATAAAATCTAATATATTTGATTAGCTTATATTAGTATTTTGTTTAAAAATTTTATGTTTATATTGTATAGTATGTTGTTTTTTAAAGGAGATTCAAAATTTCAACTAATTTCGGTATTATTAGAGGCTAACATTTCTAGCTCTACCTTTTCTTTTTATATGGATCAATCATGTAGATGCAATTTGAGATTATATTAGTGCTTATAGTATTGCAAGTAATAAGGGTTTAATGGCACAAAATTGCCCCAAACTATTACAATCCGATAATTTCGGACTTTTACTACTAATATGGGTTGATTGGATTCCAAATTATAATTTTTTTTTTACAAATATGATCCATATCCGTTATTTTTAGTGATCAAACAATTGATTGTCAATGGTCAATAATTTGAGTTAACATTCTAGTTTTTTTTAATAGTTAATTTAGTTAAAATATGATCTATATAAGAATGAATAGTGGTTATTCGTTAGATTTCAAAATTAAGAACGCTTATAAAAAAATTAAATAAAAATAATAAAATAGCAAAACAAAAGTACATATTTTTTTTTAAAAAGCATCTCTATTAAATTCACATTAACATAACAATTAAATTGACTAGATTAGAAGCAAAATAAAATATTTAAATCTAGTATTAACTAGATTGTTGATGATATAAATTTTTAATTTTTTTAATCACGTATTTCTATTAAATTCATGCCGACATAATCATTAAATTGACTAGATTAGAAATAAAATAAAATATTTAAATATAGTATTAACGCGATTGTCATTAATATAAATTTTTAATTTTTTTCTAATGAAGAATTTTTGTTAAATTTGTGCCGACATCACCATAAAATTATCACATTAACATACCGGCATGTTCATCACACGAGCATAAATATTTTATTTTAATTCTAATCGAGGGTTTGTACTTTTAAATTTTTTAAATATATTTATTTTTATTTTTTATTTGATTATCCGTACTTTCAAGTTTTTTTTTATGAGTGTTATTAATTTTAAAATCTAAAGAATAGCCACTATGTTATCTTTATGTACATTATCTTTTTTTACTAGCATAGAGATACATAGGGATGAGAATGAGTTAGGTATAAAACATGTATTCGTTCTATCCCGACACAATGAATATTCATTAAAAATATCCAATGATATTAAGATGAGTAAAGATTAAAAAAATATATATCCGTTAATATGATTTTACGTTAGGGATATCCACTTATACTTTACTAATATTCATTAATATATATTTTTTAATATACATGAATATAATTACACAAAATTAATAAATTAGAGACCAAAATATTTTTATGAAAAATTTGAAGACCAAAAAACTTATGATAAAAGACTAAATTACAAAAAAAAAAAATTTAAGGGTCGAAATAACTTTTTTGTGAAAGTTACAAGGACAAAATTAAATATTTTGACAAAAAAATTTTAATTCATATATTAAATAAATATTAAATAGACGGATAGAGTTTGCAAGATGATTTCTCAATGAATATAAATAAAATATTTTTTTAATACATAGATAAAAAATTAAATTAATGCTGCGGATACCTGATTCATTAAAATCTATAGAGATATAACACAACGAATCAGAACCCAAAACTCCCCAAAAGGCAAGGTGCACGAGGTGTTTTCCCTTTGGGCGAACCTTTCGTTACGGGAATCATTCGTAAATAGATTTGCTGGTTTAGCCCAAATTAATGGCCTAATTGACACCACAAGGCCCCAATTGAAAGAATAGGGCCGCAGCATGCAACATTTGGTCTCCAATCTTTAGGCATCTCTTTTTCATAAATTGCGGGCTATCTAAATCTAAATTTTAGATGAGGCTAAGTTATCATGAACGTTTTTTTTTTTTTCTTTTGATTCAATGAACGTTTTATTTAGACAAAAAATAGGTTTTTTTTTTTTAATAGAATTGGAAAAATAAGGTTAGACTCTTCATGAAAACTCGCTCAATGGCTCGATCTAGTTGTAAAATTGAAGAAATTAAAGAAAGAAAGAAAGAAAGAAAATTAACATACAAAAGTTCATTGGTTTTAAACAATATATATAAACACTGATTTTGGTCTTATTTACACAAAGTCAACATTAAAAGCATGAATAAGTAGAACAAGGATATAACCATAAGATGGCCAAAAACAGTAGGTCTGCTTGATCTGTTCTTGGAAGTGTAAAAAGCTGAGTGAACTTAAAACCTAGCAAGGAATTGCATCTGCTTGAGAAGAGGAGTTAGGGTTTCCATCAGTTTCTCACATGGATGGTTATGAATTCCTTCATAAGTCGTGACTACTATGCTCGTGTCCTTAGATAACCTTTGCACTTGTTTCTTTACGTTGCATGTATGATGTGTGCACCGGTAGTAACTCCTTTGCGCAAAATAAAATCAAAGCGTTGGTAAGAAACATTTCACAAAATAATAAAATTAATAATAGTTGAAGACTATGATCAAGCAGATTTATAACATAACTAGTGCAGGACCATGACCATGAGATCAATTAAACCAATTGCTACATTAAATAAATCTATTCTAATTGTAATATTCAATAGCAATAATGGGATTCACGACATTAATTAATAATCACTCAAAATATTTTGGTCCACATGATCAGTAAATAAATAAAAGTACGGGGAGTGACTTATTGGAATTTTTATATTTCAAAGAATATATGTTCATGTGTTTTGGATATTGTAGAGAAGGATCAGGAATTTATCCTTTATCCTTTTTATTTATATCATAAATTTATCTTTATCGTGATATCAAAGATTAGATGTTGTTAGATAAGATCGGCTGTCTTACAATACCGATATTCATACATAACCTGTAAGTCTATATATATGTGCTAATTGAGCTAAATCTCTTTTGTGTTCCTTTGCTTCTATTTATCTCTCATCATTTTTATATTCATGAATTACGAAATCTACTCAAATATTTATCTGTTAAAAAAACTTGAGACTAATAGTGTCGATTAACTAAAATATTAGTATACTCGTTTAAATCTTTGTTTTGCTCATGCAATTTTGTTGCTCATAAATCCTCCTATAATGAAATTAACATATCGTGGAAAGATAAAGTGCCGAACAAAAATAATAGGATGCTTTGCGCATGGATAGCTATATATATAAAGCTTTGGAGAATGAATAATAAAACATAGTAATTCACAAATAATGTGTGATTCACAATTCAGACAATTCACTACGTACAATATCCTCTGTATGTTGACGTCGTCGCAGATCGTGGTTGCTATTTTTTTCTGAACCCTAAACCTAGCCTTTAATGTGCCAGATATAGCTAGATTTTTTTATGGCAAAACATAAAAAATAAACCACTCCTAATGTACATATATAGATATAGTAAATATAAATATGATTATTTAATCCTGTTGATTACTAATGAATTCTCAAGAAGGATGCATGTAGTTTTAATTAGCCGAAAAAAGAGAAGGATGTCTAGTTGCCTGAGACTATTAATTAGGTAGTCAATAACTATCTACGCTTATCGAAAAAAAAAAAAAAGATAAGAAAGAAAGAGAGAGAGAAATTTCTCTCGTCTTTATTTTTTTTTTTGGATTATTTAAAACACAACAAATTGGATTGGGTTTCATCAAACATCTTTTATCTTAGAGGTTCAGTATGTACATATATGATCTTATACAATGAGAAACTTTAGTTCGCTCACCTAAAATATCAATCGGACTGATTAGTGAAGGGATTACGTATAGCATCTAAAAATGCATGCCATGCAACGTTAGATGATGCAAAAATTCTTTTTTTTTTTTTTTTCTTTTAGAGTTAGAAGCTTAATTAAGTTAAATTACTAGCAAACCTGGGATATTTGCTGTTCTTCACAGCTTTTTGTCCATATTTCCTCCATCGAAATCCATCATCAAGAATATCGTCTGCACTTCTAGTTTGGAAAGCAAATCTTGGTCGGGTTGCCTTTTTCATTCTTCCACCTTTCTTCTTATCCTTATTGCCCTTTTCTTCCTCAGCTCCATTTTCAGCTACCATAGAAGCACTTTCCATTATAGGCCTATTCTCGCCGAGCCCGGATTGACCAGAGAGAAGGCCAACCCAATCAATATCTGGAAGGACTTGAGGCTCAATTATAGAAGGGTGCAGTGAGGAGGATGGGAGTAGTGAGGGTGTAAAGAGATAGGGAGGGTTTTGGGATGTCAATTGTGGTAACGGTGGTGGTGGTAGTGATGGTAGGGCTTCTTGGCCATCCATTTGTGGGGCTACAAAGAGAATGATTAGAGAGGAACTGAGAATGTACTAAAGATTGAATATATAAAGGGGGTCAAGAAAAAGGCATATAGTGGGAGCCGGGAAGGTGAGAAGAGGTTGGACAGACCTACAAATAGAGAGATGAAGATGGTTTGCTAGATTTTGAAAGGAGAGTCCGTCTCGGTCTCAATTCCCTCTCTTGTAGCCATGGGTAAAGCCAACTACATCTCACCTACTTCTGTTCAACTGCCCTTAAGTGAAAAGGGAGGCGTGCCCAACTTATGCATATCGTTATCTCCAATGTAATATAGCATGGTATAGACTGCTATATATGCCTCTTTCCCACTCTCTCTATTATAACCAAATTAAAAGGACCTCAATTGAGACAAATGTTGAAATTTCCCTCTAGGTTAATGGATAATATTGTACTGTTTACCAACCAATATATATATTTGATGCAGGATTGTGTGCTGATTTGCACTTGCAATTTCTTTAGTCCCGTGAACAGAAATATCACTTGTATATCTCCACTTCAGCTTTAATCCAATTTTGTCATCTTGTTTTTAGATTAATGTTAGATATACAAATCCTAGCACTTTATTACTTTCTTAATTTCTTCTGAATGTCACTGGTATTAGGCAGAAAAGTCTTAAAATTATATGAAGATATTACTTCACCAGAAAAATTAGCTAGCTGCATACATAATCGCTAGGCTAAGTCTATTTGTATTATGAAGATATCCCTTTAAAACAAGATGGCATATGTGACTGCTCATTAATTTGGATAAAATTAAGACTTGCTCCTCAAACAAAACTTACGTAATGAGTGTTTAATCCTTTATCAAAATCTCAAACAAAACTTACATAATGAGTATTTAATGCTTGATTAAAATCTCAAACAACTTCAGGTTATTTTATAATGAATGGGAGACTTGCAAACTAATAAGAATCCTTGCCGCCGCCGCCATCCCCACGCCCCAAGCCCGCCCAACCCAACCACCAACACCCCCCTCCCCCCAACACACACACACACACACACCCAAAAAAAAAAAAAAAAAACAATAACAACAGGAATAAGCAGTAAAATGAGACTTGTTCTTTATTTGACACTTCGGTTTCTTTAGAAAAAGAAAAGATTTTTTTAAGGTTTCCATGCTGGTTTCATTAGCTGAACCATGGGAGGTAACCTTGAAATTTTTGCATAGGCGAGGTACTAGTTTGAGGACAGGTGCTTCAATAACAGCAATCCGAAATATTACATTTGCCTTCGATCGTTATTTGATGAAACCCATGACGTGTAAATCTCTTTTGCTGCGATCCATTGTTGTTTGATGAAATACAGAATATAAAACGCATTTGCTGTGGCTCAGCCCATCAAACAACAACATATATTTGACTACTGTCGGAGCTTTGGGAGCCCCAGCTCTTCACGCTTACATTCTTTATTGGTCCAGTTCAAATAATATATATTTATAACTAGTCCTGATCAGTTCGCCTAGCTTGGACTCACCAATTATCTTATTGGTACTTAGTACTGTAATGTGAGAATTCATGGGTTAGATGAACTGAAGCACCGCGCAATTCACTTTAATGGCTGATAAAACCAATTCATCCATACAAGAACACGTTTAAGTATGTATTCTTCATAAAGAGATTATTCCTCTTGAAAAGTGAGCCCAACACATATATACATGATACATAAAGAACTCTTATTGCAGAAGCGCAGGGCAGTATCCACATATAAAAGTAACAGAGATACAGATATTGAAATTGATTAGAATAGATGGCATCTAAAATAACAGAATAACACCTAAAACTTTAACAAAGAAGCCATCTAAAAGGCTCTCGATCGAGGATGGGAATTCACGGGCATTGTGCAGCCTAACTAATCCAAAATTAAGTCGATTAACCATTCCTGAGGGATATCAAAATTCCTACTGCTAGGTGAATTGCAAGTATTGATTGCAAAACAGAATCATAAGCAGCCCAGCTGGTTCTGAAACAAAGTGCATTTGGACCTCATATCTTCCAAATCAGCTGATGATCATCTTGTTGAGATATTCAGCTTGTTCAGGAAAATAGTCCAGTAGTTCATCCTTTGTCACCCAAACAAAGTCTTCACAGTTTCCAATTTTAAATTTGTTTGTTGCAATCACCTGGGACTTGAAAAAGAATCGCTGGAAAGGAAAAGGGAAGTTACCAACAAATAACGCAGGCAATTATTGTCAGCAATTTAAAAGGCAAATCTAGATTATCTCTGCATACCATTAGCAAATTACATGTAGGCAGATTTACATGTTGGCTTAAGGAGGCCAAAAAAAAAAAAAAAAACACTTCGTAAATATGTATACATCCACATGATATCCGTATGTAGCATTTCGTTTCACTATTAAAAGGAAAAACAACTGTCTGATGCACAGAATTCACAACATTTGTGACATATATACATTTGAGAAACACCGATTCTTTATTTTCCAATGTATAAAATATATCAAACATGAAACCATACTCAACTACATTCACATCACAATAATCCTACCTCAACTTATCTCTTGAAGTCTCTAATCCATGCCAAGAATACAGCCCATTGATGCACATATAGATAGTCAAAAAATTAATAAAACAACATTATCTTAGAATTTATATTCAACACTGGTATTGGGCCTTGTATCTCCTAGTTTATATTTTAACAACCAAAGTTCCTTCTATATTTGCAGATAACTGTGAATTTTGATACAACTAAGATGATAGTATCTTAATTCAGCTACATAAAGAAAGTTGATCCTTTTTTAACAATAATTAACGTCAAAATTATTTTTTTGCCACTCTGCTTTCGGGCTGAATGTTCACCATCTTGATGAATAGAAGAATCAAATAATGGTATACTAAATATTGGGCATAAAATATCTTCCATCCGTACTCTACTTACTGTGGGGTTAATTCCAGAAACATACCTTGTAGCCAGTGTCTTGCGCATTATCTGTTGGCTGTATGACCATGTGACCCATAGGAGCATTTCCAACAAAATATGTGTGAGAAAGTTCACCCAAGACAGACTGTAATGCAGATTCTGCACACTGCAAAGATTTGAGATTTATATGAGAAGAAGATAAAACAGGGAGAAGAGGAAATGGATAATCACATAGCAATATTCACCTTACGCAATGTCTCTTCAGTTTCATAAACTTTTTCAGGAAAATGCCAGACTGGGTTCCCACTAGGAGACCCATATGCGTTTCCATAGAGAAGAAGATAAAGTCTTCTGTCAAGTGCCCTCTGTAATGATCTATGCAAAACAAATTAAGAGGTCATAATCATTAGAATCCTGATTGTGTCTATCAGTGTAGAGCCCAAAAGGCAAAATTCACATGATTTAACCCTTTTAGCCTACACAGAAAAGAAAGCTACTCAGACAATCAGAATACATGTTCAGAATACATGTAAAATATAAAAGCTCCTTCACTACAGCATGGGCGTCGAACTATGACATTTAGCAAACAATCAGCAAGAAGTAGCTACTGTTGCTTCACTCAGGCCCCACCTTTGCACCTTAAGAAATTTAAATCACATAAAAGTACCAAATTGCTATGGACATCTTTTAGTTCCAGAGCAAGGCTATTCAGATGAGCTCGCCTGCTGCAGCAATGCTAATATTCATGCTCAAATTTGCTAGGTCGTGTTAAGAATATAACAACATAATATCTTTTGCAAAATCATTGGCACCACATAAGCAAAGGATATATAGACTGGGAAAAAACAACCCCACCCATTGCCAGAACTTTGCAAAGGACATGCATGCTTTTTACACCAACCACATATCAAGTATTTGAAGCAGGACAAACATGTCTCACGAACAAGAAAATATTTAGATACAAAATTACCATAAGATTCCTATTGTCAACATACAAATAATGTGCCAGTATAATCTATATTTCAGGAAAACGTTCTTCCACCAGTTCCAAAGCTTGTTCTAATCCAATTCCTAAATAATTTCCTTGATACCCCCAAAAAATTTCCTTTTGACCCAAACTCGGAAAAGATTGCCAATACTCCTACCAAAAACATAGACATATTAGGACTCTGTGATGCAATCTACATAATATATAATGTTTGAGAATTTATAGCTAGAGATGCCAGTCTAACAATTAATATAAACACTTGAGCAAATCCATCCGAAAGTAAATTACTCATATACAGTTTACCAAAAATTGGGAAGAAACAACATCCACTTATCTATTTCTTACTTTTTATCATTTGTCTTGTCAGCTTCTGTGATGCGTGGAGCTGGTTCATACTCAATATGGTAGTCACCTTTTCCACTAGTTACAGCAGTGCAAAAGGCAATTAGTTAGAAACAACTACAACTTCATTTGTATTTTGTTGGCTTCCTAGGATTCATAAATGTCAAAAGGTTAAATTTCACTAACCTAGAACTAGACTTGTCTAAAAACTCATCTGGATATCTGCGTCGATACTGCTGTTGCCAACGAAATCTACACAAAACCCCAAAAATAATTCAAACAGCAAATTCGGCAAAGCAAAATTGATGAACTGGTGCAATATCCAAAAAGAAACGAAATTTAAAATCGTACCCTAACTGAGAAAATAAAAGCACAGAAAATTTAAAATTTTATAAGAGAAAATGAAAAGAAAAGACAGAAACTCACGAGAACTCTCGAAATGCATAAACCACAGGGTCGATTTTGGGAATAACAACCGGTAATCTCTCGAAGAGGACAGAAGCTACGATTTTCTCTGGTTTGGTGCAAAATCCACGCTTCGTTACGAGAGATTGAGCCAATGATGTTAACGATCTTCGCATTTTGGATCTACAGAACGAAACACAATGATTTATACAGGTGAGAGTTGAAGTGAAGAAAATGACGAAAAGCCCTTCTTAAACCCTAAAATGATCAGCAAGTCAGTGGGGAAAATAGAGTGTGACGAAAATGGACCTCGACGGGAGGAGTACTGGTGACGGGAAACGGAGGTTAGTGAACCCAGAGTTTTGTTTGTTTTTCTTCTACAGGAAAACCGGACTTCCAGATTATCAACGGATAGATTATTGATGTCGTTCAAAACTAAGTACAATAGACGACCTGTCTTTTGCTTTTGTTTGCCAAAAGCAGATACGTGACTTCTTTTTTATTTTTTCTTTTCAATAACGAAGTCCAGTATTTGTTAGCAAAACAGAATCCACGAAAAAAAGGAAAAATCAAAATCAAAAATCAAAATTTCACACTCAAACACAACAGTATCATGAAGAACTTGCTCGAGAGGCGTTCACTGCTTAGTTTTCCGAGTCTGTTGGTATCCAACCATGTCGCTGATACAAGACAACTTGTAATCGGGTGTCAGCCCTGTTAGCTGAAAATATAACCTTGAATTGATAGATGCCAGCGCAAGCCAAAAGGTTTGGCCATAAGACAATTTACCAGTAATTTTGGACGAGTTATGTTAATTCACGATCAAATTAGTCCAATAATTTAATTAAAACAAGAAGAAGAAAGAGAAGATTTGACTCATCTCTATTAAGAATTGAAAGTGGCAAATTCCTCTCCTGTAAGTAAAGAAAGTTCACATGATAACGCACACGCCTTGTTCAAGCTCTATAACATTTTCCAGGAAAGACTGCTTTGGAGCCATCAATGGAAGCACATTATTACTAATTCTAAATTGTAAGTCCAAATAAAAAGAAAAAGAAGAAGCTAGGTGTACAAATACGAGAGACGAGAGAGTACGAATTACAATGGTTATCAGAACAACGGCTTTCTTCCATTTAACATTCCCAACAAATGATCAAGAACCTGCCCCCCTCCATCACGTAGACCAGAATGCATGTATTCGTTAGTTATCCATAGCCTAATTCCTGCTATCTGAGAAGCTGTCTCCGTTGCCAACTTGAAATTAACATACATATCTTCATAATAAACAGCAGCTGCAACAGGTACCTGCCAGCATTTAAAAAATCAGTAGCCCACCCCAAAGGAAAAAACTGAAGCTAATTTCTATTAAAAAACAAAGTAAAAGCAGAAGCTAGAGCTTGAAGATTGCAGAGTTCTCATTTTGAGTTTAATATAACGTGCATGTGTCGCAGGCCTATAATAGATCAATAATTATATGGAGGATTAACTAGAACATAAGGGCAGGGCACCTTGTTATTATTCAGCACTGCAATGTCATATAGGGGTGGCCAATCCTTCTTCTCAGCCAATAAATGAGCAGCATCTTTAAGTTTCCTCAAGGCATGAACTTCTTCGAACATCCATGGGAACACCATCTGCAGAAGGAATCCTTGAAATAATGAACGCAAAACAATAAAAGATGCTGGATCTATTTAATATCAGTACAAGAAGAAATCACTGTATGTTTTATATAGAGATTAACTTTTAGCATTTTAATTCATAGGCCACAATCGTACTTTTCAGAGGAAACATTTGATAGTAAATCGCTTGGGAAATTAGGTGCCTTTTTGGAAGACGATGTCTCCAAAGTTTCTAATTGCCGAACAACATCCATGCGACTAATTGCGAACTCATCAAATTAGCAGATCATGACATATGCAAAGAGAGCTCTCAAAAAAGTAAATAAATAATAAAAATTATCATGTAACAGAGGTCAATCATCCAGTTTTTCAGTATTGCAAACATTGTCCTAAGGATTCATTATATTGATTTTAATTTTTCCTCTGTTAAACATTTCAAAAACCCTTTGTCTCCATCATATTATTTGCTTGATTTCTACATGAAAAAAAAAAAAAAAAAAAAACATGATACAAAGTCACATCCATACTAGGTTTGAACCAACATCAATTGGCTTCCTCAAAGAACAATCTGTAAGCAAAGCTTTCAATTGGTGAAAGTGAAATCTGTAATCAAACTTTTCAACAACACAAAGCCTGCAGTTATGAGAACTTTTGCAAAGGCACAACCTCAACAACTGAAATGTGGCAATAAAGCAAGAATAACGTAGAGCATAGAGGAAACAAATTAAAAAAGTTTCCCTCAACCAAAAACTTCTGTTAATTAACATGAATAAGATGCATGCAAATGGAAATATATTTTTATAAGGGAGAGGACCAAAACAAAAGAAACAAGCATGGCCTCTTACAAATACGTAAATGATGTTCTCATTAAGAAAAAAAGAAAGAATACGTAAATCAGCTTTTCTATTTATTCTACCCTAAAGATCATGCACTTAATATGCTAAACAAGCTCAATAAGTGATTGTAAACACCGTGAAAGTTCATTATCTTTATAGCACAATGTTATAACTTCTTCCCACCTCTCCAGTGAAAAATACAGGGCGACCTTCTTTGACAGCCCTGATTGCATCAAATTTACCATCATACTCAGTTCGTATTCTGTGAGCAGCCCACCGTGATGAATCACCCTTGAACCAAAAGAAAAGAGGATTTAGAAAAAAAAGGAAAATTTTAAATAACCAAACTGTACATGGGTGCATCTGTGCGCTTTTGAAAGTGGAAATCTACCCAGCAAAGAAGCATTAGCTGATTTGTGCTTTTGATTGTGTATGAATTCTTCCATCATTATGGCTGTTCCACTATAACGTGCAAAGCACAGTAAAACTTGCCTACAATCAAAAGTAACTGCTAAAAGAGGAATGGGTATATCTACCTGACAATAGATGGACTCGTGCATGAGAGCATAGAGTGGGTTTGTATCAAAATCCAACCAATTCTCAAACTGCAAATAGAAATAACTGAGATTGATTCTAAAAAAATCATGGATTATTGATCAACAGAAGATCAGCAATGTTCTTACAGCATTCAAGAAGTGGTAGCTGATTTGCTTACGAGAACCTGGAACTATTGCAGGATCCCATACCCTCTCAAACCTGCCAGTTGTGGAGAAAAACAAAGCAAGGGAAAATATGATAAATAAAGGGAGAAGAAAAAGAGAAAGGAAACCTGAAGAATATAAAGTTGTAAGTTCTTTGGGGATTAAATAGCGGTTGCCTATCCTACTTTAAATAAAAAAAAGTGTTTGCATATGCCTTACATATAGTGCAAACGCTCGAAACCTGAACTGGATCCTAAACCAGAGAGACCCAGAGTTTGCAGTCCTTTTGGAGTTAAGAGCCCCCCAGATGGAAGAATCACCTGACAAAAAGGAAAAGAGAGACGAGGATGTACACGATCGATATTTTTCTTTTTTTTTCATTAACAAAAGTATAAAAATTGTATGTGCTAGATCATCACCCCGCCTCCTTCAGATTCTGCCAAATGTTTCACAACTTCACCAACAATTTCAACATCCTGAGGAAACCTCTTGTAGTACTTTTCATTCTGGTGAATAACCTGAGGATAGCATGCTCTATAGACAGACTCTGCAGTGCATCCATTTCCTAATGGAGGGGTTCCTCCAGTTAGAAGGACCTGTTTTAGCCCTTGTGGCGCAAAGCTCAGATAGGTTACTGAACAAAAACCACCATAACTCTACACCAATAAAATGAACAAGAACAAATCAAGCCATTTTGATTTCCACAAGGCAAATGGAATTTTAAAGAAGTAAAAAGACTGAAATCAGGAGTGTTCTCGGCAAACAAAAAGCCAAAACAAAATATAATCAAGTCCACAGAAAAAGCAAAAGGAAACCACTGCAGATTAATAATCTTCATACCTGACCCAAAACTGTCCATGGTCCAGCTTCAGGTACAAGACGAACTCGGATAAACTCTGCATCATTCACTATATTGTCAGCTCTAAAGTATTTCAAGTATTCAGCGATATCCTTGGCAGAATCCAATTGCGACATGGATGATGGTGTCAAAGGAGTTGATAAGCCTGTTCCTCGCTGCAAGAAAAACACACAGCAGGACCTAAGAGAGGATGAATAAAGGTAGTCAAACAGCAGTAAAATACAGGAATGTCCAAGAATTCATGCCTGGTCCATCAAAATAACACGAAATTCTTCACATGCTTTATGTATCCATCCGCTTGCTTCTGTTGGCCGTGGACACTCAAAGCCCGGGCCTCCTTGTAGATATAATAGGTATGGCAGTAGTTGTTCTTCTTTCCCAACTACAGCAAACATTTTGAATGCATAAGTGAAAGTAATAGTACGTCTAGCAAAAAAGAAAACAAAAAGGTACATAATCTGATCTAATAAAGAAACAACTCATAAATGATTATTACATGGTAACCTCTGCAGTTCAACAACCAGTTTTTGTTGAATTACTGAAATGCACGGAACATTTCAAAAGAAAAAAATTGCACGGGCGAAATCTATAACTAGAGATCACACCACATGCCTATCAAGAAATAATGCCATGGGTGGGGATTTGCAGTGATGTAGTGTTTCTAGATGCGCTTCGAGTCTCATGTATTCTTGCACATGTCTAGCACTAGGGATTTTCATTATTGAACACCTGGATATACCTAATAAGAAACAAACAATCGAGCATAGTGAAAGGACTGTGGATCATTGTAAATGCCTACTTTTGAGTTTGACCTTCACCAAAAAGCTTAAGTTTTTCGGTTTAGCTGTTTTTATGATACAGCTAACCTCCAAGTATCAATTCAAGAAAGCCACAGTTTTACAATCAGAATGAAAGTCAATGCACTGAAACGATCCTCGGATACAATTAAGTACTGACACAAACTCGTCTCTGATCCAAAGATCAATTTTGAAATTGAAACTGACAACAACATATCTAATTTTTTTTAAAAAAAATGCAATTTACTTAAAATTAAGCACGTAAACTACACAATACCATTCATTTTAACTAAGTCTCTCAATCCTGTTTTATTCCAGAAAAAATGCAAGCGACGTGATCAAATTTTCTAATCCAATACAAGTATTATATGGCTTAGTTGACTTCAGTGCTTTGGTATTTACACCATTGTAGACTTGTATGAATTATAAATACATCTCAAATAAATCGATTTGTGATCAAGTTACTAATTTTCTAATTGAGATAAGTATTTAAGTACCGGAAACCACTTCCCGAGCGAAAACGGATATTTTCGGAGAAGCATTGCGATCGTTGGAATAATCGAGAGGAACGGTGAATCGGTGGTCCCGAAAGCGGAGGTCCGGCACCGAGTACCACGTACCAGCGACATGATCCGACGTAGAGTCGGCGGCGGAGAAGGTTTCAGGCATGGCGGCGTAAGTACGTAATGAGGTCCGGCGAGAGTGGGAAAGGAGAATTTTAGTGACTGGATGTGGTGGAATAGCACGAGAAGATAAGGCAAAAGAGGAGGTAAAATGGAGGATTGGTTTGATCAAAGAGGGTGGCGCGTGACTAAATACCATTTCACAGGAGTGAGGGGATTGATAGAGTAAGGACACATGTGTCGAGATGAACCATGATTGAGTTGAAAGGAGTCAAAGAGATCTTTTGGTTGATCTGAGACGTTGGACTGGGATACTTTTGTTAAAGTCTCAACGCCATCTGTTTCGATGAAATTGTATGGATAAGGGGGTCCGATTTTAATGTTTTAAATGGCAAGCCAACGTTACATTTGTGTGTGTGGAAAACACGCTCGACAATAAGGCTCTGTTTGTTTGATAGAGTGAATATATTTTTTTAGAAAGTTGTTTTCTAAAAAAATATTTTCTGACGTTTGACAATTACATAAAAAACAGTTGAAAAATAAATTTCAATATTTATTTGATATAGAAAACTGAAATATAAAAATAGACTATAATTGTTATATTAACGAGTTTTGAGAAAACTTCAATAAGATATATTCACAATTTTACAATATAAGATGTATTTAGAAAAATTTAATAAATTTTTATAAATACTGATTCTAAAATTTAAATTCAAAAAATAAAATGTACATTTTTAACCATCAAACCAATTTATCAAAACTACTTTAGACAAAATCAAATCAATATTCACATTTAGTAAAAAAAAATTTAAGTAATCCTATCATTGTTATTTTGGTAACTCAATTAAGAATTCTTTTTTTTTTTTTTTTTTGGAAATTGAATTGATAATTTAGTCTAAAAAATAATTTTATAAATTATTAGTTATCATTTGTAAATAATTATTCGTTTGGTTTCAAAATATTAATGTTGGAATAATTTGTAACTAATTATTCATTACAATTATTAATAAAAATTTACAATGGATTAAAATTAGTCACGGATGATTGATTTAGCTGCAAATGAATAGTGTTAAAAAAATAATATATTTATCAATGAATTAATTAGTTTTAATTTTTTCATAAATAATTACATTCTTGTAATAATCATTTACAATCATGTAAGTATAGTTTAAGTGATGTTTAGAATAATGATTAAAAAAAATAGAGATAAATTATTAGAATATTTATTACAAAAATAATTTTGAGTAGTAAAAATGGTTTTTAAGAATATTTAATGCATTTATAATTTGAAAAATCAAATGTTAGTAAAAATAGAGAAAAATAATTAAATAATTAATAATAATTGATAAGAAATAATTAAAAATTAATTTGATATATTTTAAATAAAAATGAGGCAAAGAAAATATTGTTAAAACATATCGAGATGAAGGTGAGTAACGCGAAAGCGAGACAACTCATAAGAGAGACAAAAAACATTTTTCTCTTTGTTAACTCGAAAAATACTTTTCCAAAAATATTATATCATTTTTTGTTGTCTTTTTTCCTAAATGCGAAACAAACATAAAAAATATAGGAAAAACATGTTTCGAAACTTATTTTTCCCTAAACAAGCACAACCTAAAAAGTGATAAATTGTTGTATGAATTGAAGTGCAGTTTTTTTTGTTTTTGGCTAAAACACTTAGAGAATGCCTAGTCTCGATGATTCCATAGTACGAATTGTTCGCGAGAGGAGTAGAACATCTAAAATGATTTAAAAAATAATATTAATTTGTCAAGTCTATTAGAATCTATTGAATTAAAAATAAAACATCTAATATATTTTTCATAAATTTATAGTTACAAAACGTGATTTTTTATTTTTTATGATTAATTTTGATATAAAAATTTGCAATAATCTAAATAAAATACTTAATTTAAAATTTTAAAAAATATTTTAATATTTTTTATAAGATTGCATAAAAAAAAAGCAATAATTAATATAAAAGCTTATGTAAAAATTAACATATGATTTTTTTTTATTCTTATTTAACATTGATGAGAAGATTTTAAAATAAATACATTTGATTTATATATATTTATTCAAAAAATCAATAATATTATTATAAAAACTATATTTGAATCATTTGATAGTTCTCCTAAAATATTATTTTATTTAAAAATAATTGATTTTATAGTATTAAAAAAATAATAACAAATGATTGGTGTAGGTGTGTAGATGTATAGATAATTTTTAATAAAACCAATTATCTCAATATTGTATTTATTTATACATTATTGATCATACTTAGCGAGTTCAGAGTGAGCGAGTTAAATAAAAAATATTTTTAAAAAATGCAAGGTATATCTTAAACTTAAAAGAATGAAATAAAAAATTATAGAATTAATTTCAATAAATTTTAATTATATAAAGAAGAAATAAATAAAATACTTGAATTCTTTTAATTGATTTTTTTAGAAGGTTTAAGACAAATAATCTGAAATATACTTTTACTTTGTTAACACCCTCATTTAAAAATCATAAGAATCAATCATATGAATTATATTGATATATTTAAAACAATGCAAAAAAATAATATTCTAAAATTTTATTCAAAAATCCATACATAGAGAAAAATAAATCATGTTTATTAACAAATAAAATTATATAAAAAATTAAAAATTAATTTCATGAGAATTCTCATAAGAAACGACAAATCAAAAAAATCAATTTTAAACAATAAGAATAATATAATCCGATACATATGTTCGTTAAGAAAAGATAAAATAATTATGTTCTAAAATTTTATTCAAAAATTCATATATAGAGAAAAATAAATCATATTTATTAACAAATAAAATTATGTAAAAAATAAAAAATCAATTTCATGAGATTTTTTTATAAAAAACGACAAATACAAAAATTAATTTTAAACAATAAGAGTAATATAGTTCGATATATATTTTTATTCTAAATTATAAAAACATATCATAAATGTTTTATCATCGTTGTGTGGAAAATCAAGAAAATAAGGATTAGTTTTCTATAATTTTCACGCACACACACATCAAATTAAAAAATTCAATTTTTTTCTAAGTTTTAATCTAACTTCTTCAACTATTTTATGATTTGAAATCATCATGAACACTCACTTCTTACTAAGGTAAATAATATAAATGCAAAAGAGGTTGAAATTGGTGTCAATCGTGGCTTTCGTTCTTCTATCTATGCATTTAGAAGTCAAATTGCGATACAAATAAAGTTAAAGATTAAAATATTTTTTTTAAAAAAAATTAGGGATCAAATACAATAATAGGAAAATCCACATACAAATGTTCTAAAATAACCTAAAAATTAAAAAAATACTATAATATAAAGGAACAGTAATGAATAGTGCAACAGTAAAGAATTTTTACAACCAGTAGATTTGATCAGTATCTTTTACTAGGCTGAGCAAAATTAGGTAAAAACCAAACCCAACTAAACAAAAATATCAATTTCGATTCAAGTTTTAAAGCAAAAAAAAAAAAAACTTAACCAAAATTATTTCAGTTTTCGATGTTTGGTTTGGTTTTTTAAAAATTCTCAAACGGTTTACTCCGAATACCGAAGTTAGTTTTGATTTTTTTTAATATATAACAGTATAACATTTTTTTTTAAAAAAAAAAAAGCAAAGACTCAAAACCTAACCCAATTGAATACCCCAAGCCCCATTAGTCAGACGCAGTCACGCTCGTACACCCACTCTCCCAAGTCCCAAGTCCCACCGCCCACCAGCTTTATGCTCTTTAATGCTGTCTCTCTGGTCTCTAAATATCTTCTTCTCCGTTGATTATTGAATCCGTTCTACTTCTCCAATTCTCCCACCGGCGATAATTCTATACGGCACCATCTAGCACAATTTCATCCCTTCTCTGTCAAAAGAGCACCATACAAGCTACCATCCACCTCCCACCAGACAGGCAGACACCATCTACTAGCAGCAACTCATTTTTTTCATCTCTATTCAAGGTAAGAGGAACAATAGCTCCTCTCATTTGTTAATTTACCTTTTGATTTATATATACGTTAGATAGAAAAGTTGAATAAAACACTACATTAATGACACAAATAAATTCATGTTTGATTGATTGTAATTTCAATTAAGATGCTTTTAATTCACAACTGTTTTTTTTTTTTAGAATTTTAATTCATGTTTTAGTATAATTTATAAGGTAACCTTGTAAAAATGCAAGGAGCAAGAAACCATGCCTTAAACTCTAATATGATTCAAGTTAAGAACTCCTGAACAACATGAGAGAAAAAAGTAAGCCGCAAGAATTCTAGATGACATTTAATTTTGAAGAAAAGAAAAAACAACTAGTTTTAAAATCCTTAAAACTTGGCATTCTGTGTTTCATTCATCTATCAGCTACCTTAAATTCGTAATGGGATGTGAGCATATCTGAGCCGTATCTGCTAAAGGTTGCTTTACTTGGACACTTTCATGGAATCCTTTATAATGAGTTCTTATGTGCAAAAGGAATTAAGACTCATTTCTGTCTCTAAGAACAAATTCCAATCACGAATAACTTTGTTTTATTCTGGTTCATTTGATAATTGAAGCACATATATATGAAGGGAAGGGATAAAAGCTTTCTCATTGTCAATGTTTATTTATTGAACCAAATTACATGTGTTGGCAAAGCAAGCTTTCTCATTCTAGTTCCTTATCGTTGTTGCTAAGATGATCAATTCACACTATGAATGCTTTAGTTTAGCTATTTTTAAATAGTTTATTTATTTATTTATTGTAAATTGCTAAATTTAAAGTGCATTATTTTACTATTGAAGGTTATCTAGGATATCATAAATTATTTTAATTTTATAATTTTTTATGTAGATGTCAAAATCCGAAGAGATTAATGTTGAAATCTTGAGTTCAAATAATCCAGAATCAAATGTATCTCCAATCGACACACAAGTTGGCACGAGAACGAAGAGGAAATCGATTAATCGAGATCAATTATGTGTGAGCATTTCATAAAGTTTGAAGATGAAAATAAAGACATCAAGGCTAAATGCAACTATTGTGATAAGGTACTTGATTGTCATCCTACAAGAAATGACACAACCACACTCAAGTCTCATATGACTACATGCAAAAAACACTCTCATATTTTTTATATTACATAAAATCAATTAAACCTTCATCCAAATGTAGGAGGAGAAAGCACTTTTAGCACATGAAAGTTTAATCAAATTGTTACTTGGAAATGCTTTAGCTTATATGAGCATTGTAGATGAACTTCCATTTAAGTTTATGGACGGTTTGGGTTTTAAAAAGTATATGTCTATTACATAACCTAGATTCAAAATCCCATCATGATTTACGTTTTCAAGAGATTGCTACTAACTTTATTTAGATGAGAAATTAAAATTGAATCAATTATTGAACACATAGACATCTATACAAAGAATCAATTATATGTGTTTAATCGCTCATTTCATTGATAATGATTAGAAGTTGCATAAAAAGATCGAGTTTTTGTCCGATTGATAGTCATAAGGGAGTAGATTTAGGCATTGTCATTAAGAAATGCTTGATAGATTAAGAAATTGAAAAGCTTTTTACCGTTATAGTTGATAATATAAGTTCGAATGATGTGACAATTAGATACTTAAAGAATGCATTGAACTTAAAGATATTGATTCTAAGAGTTTGTTACAATTAGATGTCACAACTAGCTAAAATTCAACATATTTATGTTAGATGTGACTCAACGAGTTTGAGAGAGCTTTTAAGAGATATGATCAAATTGATCCTTTATATAGATGTGAATTTAATGACGATCATGGTGATAATGTTATTGGGCTGACTAATATTGAATTTTGGAAGGCTTATAGGAAGATGATGGGCATGTTGAAAGTTTTTTACGACCTTGCTTTGCTTATTTGGAGTTCTTTGTATGTGACTTATAATACTTACTATGAAAAGATTTGTTTGGTTGAACATGTTTGCTAAAAAGGCAATGAAGTTCAGATTTAGATGATTTTTCATTGGCTAGTAAAATGAAAGAAAAATTGAAAAAGTATGAAAGGGATATTAAGAAAATGAACAAACTGATTTATATTGTGACCATAATTGATCCTAAGTATAAATTTGAATTTGTTGAATTTTAATCAAAGAATTGTATGGTGATTTGGATGTTTAAAATATGATAAATATTGTGAAGGAATCTATATATATCATGTATGATTTCTATCGCCAGTTCTCAAAACCTAAAGGTCAAATTGGTCAAATTGGTGAGAGAATAGAAGTGTCAAATATAAATAAAGAAATAGTTGAGTATGGAGAGGTGAGCATGAAATTGGAGATAAAGATGTGTTTTAAAAAAATCAAGTGTGAAATTGAAGGTGGAGAAAATAAATCGGAGTTGGATAGGTATCCTGATGAATATTCTGAAAATGATAATGCTGATTTTGATATTTTAGAGTGGTGGAAAATAATTCTTCTTGATTTTCTATTCTTGCACAAATGGCTTGTGATGTGATGGCGAGTTCCTATTTTTATCGTTCCCTCATAATCGGCATTTAGCACTTGGAGGAAGATTTCTTGATGCTTTTAGGAATTCTTTATCTCCTATCATAGTGCAATCTTTCATATGTACTCAAGATTGGCTTAAAAATTCATCGAGACAATTTAATATTGAAGAAAATTTGCATGTTGAGAAAATTGAAGTAGATGTTTTTTTTGACTCTATATTTTCATTTGTTATCTATTTCCTCTATAGTAACTTAATAATGTTAAAGTGTTGATTTTTTAATCCTATATATATATTTTTTAGATTTAATAGTAATCACTATGATAAATGTTTGATGGATTGATGATGTTTTGGCTTTTTGGGTGTCGTGGTTAAGTTTTTAATTTTTATTTGCTTGATATAATAATTTTTTATACTTTTAATATTTGATGGATTGATGATGTTAAATGTCATTGCCAAGATTTGAAAGTAAATGGAATCCAAATTTAATTATGTATTTTGATGATGTTTTTAATATTTTAATGTTTTTTTTATTTAATTTAATGGATTGTTCTTCAATTGTGAATTTATGATGCTCAAGAGAAACAATAGTTCAATATCTACTATCCTAGTATTCTATATATTTTAATTATGAATTGTGAATATGTGATTTGAGTTAGTGCGAGATTCGAGTTAATGGTTTGCAAATATTTTTGGAAGCAGTGGAGAAGAAACAATATGGTTGGTTTTGGGCTTGCCCAAATAGGGTAAAGACTGCCGCTATAGACAGGAGGCATGCTCTTCCTCTAGGATATATTTTAAAATCTCAAATGAAGGCGCTTCTTGAAGAAGAAGCCTATAGAATTCGTATTGAAGAAGAGATTGAAAATCATGTGATAATCATATGGGTTCTCGTTAGTCGTTAGCTTTTCGTCTCCCTTCTTATTCCCGATTTGTTTATGCAATGGAAGAAGAAAATGGTGGAAGAAAGAGAGGCAGGCTTGGCTGCAAAACGAGCAAAAAAGCTAAGAATGATAGGATGAGGTATTGTCTTTAAAAAAAAGCAAGCACATGGATAGAGGCCCAAAGGCCAAAGCCCAATTGGAAAAATAAAAAAATCGATTTTAGTTTTTTATTTTTTTAATTCAGTTAACCAAGAACTAAATAAAAATTATCCGAAAGTGAATCGAATAATGGTTTGATCACTCTTGAATTTTACATAACCTGCTAAACCGGTGAAAAAATGGGGGAAAAAAAAAACCCTACCTTCTCTGAGCTCAAACCCAAAGTCTATTTTTGTCCCATAAAACGGTTCCTCTCTTTCGGTCAATTAATCCAAGTTTTGTGTTTGAATTGAGAGAAGGGGAAGTCTTTCTATTCCTTATCCTTGAGGTATTGTTTGATTACTAGAAATAAAAAGTTCGAAATGTATGAATTAAAATAAAAATTAGATAATTGAAATGATATTTGTATTCTCATATTGTGTTTGGAATACTAATGAGGAATCGAAATATAATTTAAATTTTTTAATATCTAATTTTTTATACAAATAAAAATAATAATTAAAAAATAATTTTTTTAAAGTATAATGATTATAGAAATAATAAAGATGACGGTGGTAGTGGTGGTGATGACGGTAGTTGTGGTGGTGACAATGGTGCTTCTAATGGTGGTGTTGGTGCTAATTGTAGTGGTTATAATGATGGTGGTAGAAGTAGTTGATAGACAATAAATAAATAAAATATATTATTATTTAAAAAAAAATTTATTCTCATTCCTTATTTTTATTCTCACGTTTTATATATGAATGAAGTTGTGTGTAATTTTTATTCTCATTTCTACTCTTTATTCGCATTCTCATTTCATTCATTTTAACCAAATAGCTATAACGGGAGAATAAAACTTTCATTCTCATTCATACTATTCTATTCTTGATTACCAAACAACACCTGAAAGTTCTAAACTTCTTATCAATTAATCCAAGTTTTGGATCAACAAGAAGTGTGATTGGCTTTCTGAGTTCTGATGAATTTTTTGGGTTTCAATCAAAACAATAGTCTCCGGTTCTGTGGTTCCTGAATTTACCAGTGGGCTCTAACGACTTTTTCCTTGTGCAAGTTTTAGAAGCAAATTAATCATGCTCTTGCTTCTTTTGCCCTTGCGAACTGCATCCAAATTTTGCTTTTGAATTAAACTTGCAATTGATTTTGGCTTGAAAACATTGTCACCCGCATTGAAACTCTAAGTTAAATGTCCTGCATGTTTTTGCAACTATTTAACGATTTAAGCGCTAAATATTTCGATAGAATTCAAATCATCAATGACAATCTTTATGTATTTAATATTAATATACAAATCAAGAATCAGAACAGCAGAATTGAATGGAGATAGAAAGGAAAGAGAAGAAAGAGGCGGAATCGCCCTAAGTCACTAAATTGATTAAATTGGACAATCGATTGAGTAATCAACCAGTTGCTCCTTTCCATTTTGATCCAATGGTTTATGTTAAACGGACGAAAATCCAAGGGTTTCTATTGATTCTGTACCAATACAGATTCTTTATAACAGTAAAACCTTAGTCTTTCTATTTCTTTTTTATCAAATATTAAAAGAAAATAAAATAAATTGAGTAATTTTTTTTATGGTTTTTATGGATGAATCCAAGGTAGAAGAAAATTAGAAATTAGTCCTCTCGTTTACATAAACAAATTGATTAGTTTTTTTTGTTTTATAAAAAAAACTAACCATTAACCACGTTTTAATTTCATCAATAAATTAATTTTTTTAAATTTTTTTCAATTAAAGTAACGATTTGTAGTATTTTTTGTTTCTAAATTATCTCTTTTTATGCATTAATTTTTTCATTCACACACATTTTCTTTCTTTCGCTTTTCTCAAACACACACAAAAAAAAAAAATCATCAAATTTCTACTTCTCATTTTGTTAATTTCCACTTTCTTTATCTTTCTTGAAGCAATTAAACATATTTTTATTGATGGAAATATATATTAAAAGGTATTTTAGACATTAAATTTGACAGATTTTAGCTAACATTTAACAATAAAAAAATAATTAATTTTTAAAATGAGAAAAACTAATCAATTCGTGAAAACGAAAGAGGCTAATTTATAATTTAATTCGTAAGATACGTATTATGATAAAGGAGGTTTGCTTCATTTGATTTGAATGCACTTCTCACAATTGAAATCGGATCATCCACCCACATCCTCAGATTTGGATCTCTGTATTGGATTATGACATATCAGAAAGTACCAAGGGAGAGTGGCCTTCACCTGCGCTGAAAGGCACGTGTGGATAACAATCCCGAACCATGGAAGAAAGCAACTCAAAATCGAACTACTCCATCAAGTTGGTGCAGGAGGCGCAGCCATCATGCACCAACCTCCTCCTTCAATAAATAAATGGACTGATAAATTCAACCAAAATTTCTCGCATTCACCCATTCCATCTCCCTCTCACTCTCTAGAAAATGGGCTTATTCACTTACCTCACCAAATCCTCCTCCACTCTCAAACCCAACGCTCTAATCCGCCACATCCGTTTCATGAGCAACGTCCCTGAAAACACCGTCTACGGTGGACCAAAGCCACAAAATCCACATCAAAGAATAACACTAACCCATTTAAAGCAAAAACACAAAAAAGGTGAGCCCATTACCGTTGTAACTGCCTACGACTATCCTTCTGCGGTCCACTTAGACACAGCAGGTATCGATGTTTGCTTAGTTGGTGACTCCGCTTCTATGGTCGTTCACGGCCACGACACCACCCTCCCTATCTCCCTTGATGAGATCCTTGTTCATTGCCGTGCTGTTGCTCGTGGAGCCAAAAGGCCGCTTCTTGTTGGTGACTTGCCTTTTGGGACGTATGAGTCTAGTGCTAAACAGGTGCCCATTAGAATTCTCAACCAAAAATGTTGCTCTCTTGTTGTTTATCTTAACAGTAGGTTTCTTATTTTTAAAAGTTGTGAAACAGTAGAATATTTATGTTTCGAAGTTCGTTTGGGGTTTAATGTGGGGGAGAGAGGATTTTGTGTTGTTTTGAATTTTAGGTTTTTAAGTGAGGAGTTGGTTGGTGATGTTGATGCAGTTTGGATTATGAGCAGGCAGTTGATACGGCGGTAAGGATTTTGAAGGAAGGAGGAATGGATGCGATTAAATTGGAAGGAGGGTCGGCGTCGAGAATTACTGCGGCTAAAGCAATTGTTGAGGCAGGAATTGCTGTTATGGGACATGTAGGACTTACTCCTCAGGCTATTAGTGTTCTTGGAGGATTCAGGCCTCAAGGGAGAAACATTGCCAGTGCTGTTAAGGTATGTGCGTTCATATGTTTTGTTTATGAGACGGCTTGCTTTGTTTTGTGTTGAATTTGTTTTGTTGCACAGGTTGTGGAGACTGCATTGGCTTTGCAAGAAGCAGGGTGTTTCTCGGTTGTTTTAGAATGCGTGCCTGCGCCTGTGGCTGCTGCAGCAACTTCTGCTCTGAAAATTCCAACCATTGGCATTGGGGCAGGACCTTTTTGCAGTGGCCAGGTTTATCATTTTTTTTTTTTTTTTTTTATATATATAACTTGCACACCCAAGGCTCCTAGCAGAACTAGGATTTGAACCCGTGAGCCACTACCAGTGAGCTAGAAGCTGATTGGTAGGTTTATCATATAGATTCTTGGTTTCTTTTGTTTGATATGTTGAGAAAAATGTTTGCTTTTTATGTTTCAAATTTAGACAGTAGGATGGGTGTGATCATCCCTATAAGTTTCTTCTTATGACTGAAGAATTCGATTCTCTTTGCGATTTGCCAACACCGTTGCTTGTCCAGGGGAGGTGAATGAGTTAGTACAATTTTAAACTCAAGCATTTAAAGCCGGCTACCTTCTATGTTGTTCAGAAGCAATCTTAGCATATCACACTTAAAAAGGAAGAGGGGATGATGAATAATGTCATAAGAGAAAGATTAAGAGCCATGGCTTTCCAAAGCAGTGCAAGTTAGTTTTGAATATAGGAATGTGAAGATTTCATTGCATTTGATACTCTAAAGCCAAAAGTGCATGGTGCTAGGATTTCAATCTTATTAACCAGGGCACAGGCTGTTTCCATGTTCTTCTTCTCTCCAATGACACTAGAGAAGTTATTTTACATGGCATTGGATAATCAAGATTTCTAGAACTTACAATGTGAGTGTCTGTGCTCGTGTGCACAGGTACACCAGATAATTACTTCAATAGGAATGGCATATATGTTCATGTTGCACAGCAGATGGATTACCCACCCTTCTGTGACTTTCCAATGACACTAGAAATAGCTCTGCAATTTATGTCTCTTTCCAGGAAACTTGCAAGCTTGGTTCTTAAATTTTTTCTTGAAGGTGAATGTTTCTATCCATGATGTATGTCTAATTGTTCATGCAGGTGCTAGTTTACCACGATCTATTGGGAATGATGCAACACCCACATCATGCCAAGGTTAATCCCATAATTGCCGCCCTGGTTTGTTGATTTTGTTTGCATAGCTAACATTCTGTGTGCTCAAAAAAGGATTGCTTTACCTTTTATAGGTTACTCCAAAGTTCTGTAAGCAGTATGCACATGTTGGAGATGTCATCAACAAAGCTCTAGTTGAATACAAGGAAGAAGTGACAAATGGTTCGTTCCCTGGTCCTGCCCACAGTCCATATAAAATTAGTGAAACTGAGATAAATGGTTTCGTGAGTGAATTACAAAAGTTAGGTTTGGAGAAGGCAGCAGCTGCAGCAGCTGAGAAAATTAGAATGGCTGAATCAAGTAATGGTCCAGCAAATGACTGAATACCGGTCAGTCCAGCAGATGTGCTTCTTATTCGGCTTTTCCCTTCTCCCTGATCATAAAGAAGAGTGAAATAACAGAAGTACATGTATGTTGGTTCATCTTTGAAAGCTAAGCCAGAAGTTGCATTAGTTCTTGACATCGAGATTCATTTCAAAGGAAACAAGTATTGTTGTAGAAATGATTGCATTTGTTTGTTTTCCTATTTCCTATTTATTCTTGCCTAAAAAATTAATAGAAATTAAGATATGTCATGAAATTGGATTTTTTGAGCTGTGTCTATGAGGGATTGAGGATTGCTGGAGTTTTAGCACAAAGCCAAGTCAATGCAGTTAATTTGCTTTGGTATCTACTGATGTTTCGTGTAAAAGTAGATATTTCGTGTACCGGACTAGATAGCAGGGATGTGACTGTATTTTCATCACACGAAGATTATTCGCCAAACAGGTTAATGACACAAATGACCCGAAACTTAAATAAAAATTAAAGTTGCTTCTTTTGTGCTGTTAGGGTTTATTTCCTGAAATGTTATCCTGTTGTGTAGTAAAACTCAAAGGGATATTGCCAAAAATGTCCAGTTAAAGTGAAATTGCCATTATTGTATTCTTGATTAATAGATTACAAGAAAATTTATTTCTCTTTTTTGTAGGCTTTGCTTGAATTCTAACCCAAAATAATACAGAAACAAAGATAATCCATTCATCATCCGACCAAGTATATCAAAAATTAGCTCTCATAAATCCGAAACCTCGGCTTTATTCACAAACTTCTACGCACTTTAAGGTTGTGTCTGGTTTCTGACTAAGATAGAAGGGAAAGATACTCTCCGAACATGTTTGTGAAAGAGCACAATGACAAGGACAAAAATAAAAAATCATGTGTATTTGCGGAATATTTTTTGAAAGCCATTTCTGTCTCTCTAGAGAGGAGAGACATGGAAGGCAGAACTTGGAGACACATTTTATTTTTCAAAATTCTCATCTTTATCCGTATACTTAGATCTAGACCATTCATTTTACCAGTTAATTTCCACAGTTGGATTTGAAAACACAAAAAATATACAAAGCCAACATTCTTTCGCAATGACGGGCCAATTAGGATTAAAATAGCAGCTCATGCCATATCTGTCTAGGCCCAAGTTATCCTAAAATGAGCCCCTTTAGCCTTCCCTCTTGAAAGACCTTGAGACTACACAAGAAAAACCTCCCAAGCTCCAACAATCACTTCTTCCTCCCCAATTAAAATGAGCATCATAACATTTTCTGTATCAAAGCACTCAAACCTTCTCCGCCTCCTCACATACAATACATTCCTCCGCCGCCTCTCCACTGAACCGTTGCCGCCACCTCCAGAATCACAACCACCGCAACAACAACAAACAGAACAAAAAACATGTAACTATGGCTCAATCATAACAGAAGTCCTACAACTCCTTCAGACCCCAGAAAATGAATGGAACACAACTCAACTCAATCAACTTCTTTTCCCCGACTATCCTCCTTCCTCTTCTCCTCGCCTTTTCTATCAAATCACCCGCTGCTTATCTTCCTCTTCTCAAGCGCTCGAATTCCTCAATTACCTCCTAAGTAACTCCCCTTCTTCACCAGACACCCAATCTTTACTCTCCTACACTTTCCAGGCCATTTTCGAGCTCGCTGCTCGCGAACCCGATTCAAATGTTAATCTCTCCCAGCTTTATAAAACCTCGAAAAAGTTGGATATTCCTCTCACTGTCAATGCTGCGTCGTTTCTCCTTCGCGCCTTTGGAAGGAGTGAATCGATGGAGGAATCTCTCAATTTCTTCAATGAACTTGAACCAGCTATTAAAAACACCCATATTCATAATGTTTGGCTGAGTGTTTTGTTGAGGTGTGGGCGGGTTGAAGATGCATTGAAGATGCTCGATGAAATGTTTGAGTCAAATGAGGAGTCTAATTGTCATCCCAACAATGCTACGGGGGATATACTATTTTCATTTTTGTTGAAGAGAGAAAGAAATGGAGGGTTTTTAAGTGAAGAGGAGATTGCTAATTTGGCGTTGAAGTTTGGCGAGCATGGGGTTCTTATTAGTTCGTTTTGGATGAGTCAATTGATTACCAGGCTGTGTCGGAATCGGAAGACTAATAGAGCTTGGGATCTTTTTACTGAATTGATAAAATTAGGGCTTGTCTTGGAATCTGCTACTTGCAATTCATTATTGACAGGATTAGCAAGAGAGGGCAATTTTAATAGAATGAACGAACTAATGGCAAAGATGATGGAAATGGATATTCAGCCCAGTGTTGTTACTTTTGGGATTCTTATTAATCATATGTGCAAGTTTAGGAGAGTCGATGATGCGTTGGAGGTTCTTGAAAAGATGAGTGAAGGTAAGGAGAGGGGTGGCATAAGTGTTTCAGTTGAACCGGATGTTGTCATCTATAATACGTTGATTGATGGACTTTGTAAAGTTGGAAGGCAAGAAGAAGGATTGCGTTTGATGGAACGAATGAGATCACAAAAGGGGTGCGCTCCTGATACCATTACATACAATTGCTTGATTGATGGGTTTTGTAGAGCTGGTGAGATAGAGAAGGGAAAGGAGTTGTTTGGTGAGATGAATAAAGAGGGGGTTTCACCAAACGTTGTCACGGTTAATACTTTGGTTGGTGGCATGTGTAGAACTGGGAGAGTCAGTGGTGCAGTTGAATTCTTTGTTGAGGCGCAAAGGAGAGGTTTGAAAGGAGATGTGGTTACTTATACTGCTTTGATCAATGCTTTCTGTAATGTAAACAATCTCGAGAAGGCAATGGAACTCTTCAATGAAATGTTGAAAAGAGGATGCCCTCCAGATGCAATTGTCTACTACACCTTGATCTCTGGTTTTAGCCAAGCTGGAAGGATGGATGATGCCAGTTTTCTCCTGTCAAAGTTGAAAGAGGCTGGGTTCCTCCCTGACACGGTGTGCTATAATGTTTTGATTGGTGGGTTTTGCAGGACGAAGAAGTTTCATAGAGTTTTTGAGATGATCAAGGAAATGGAGGAAGCTGGATTGAGACCTGATACTATCACATATAACACTTTGATTGCTCATGTCAGCAAAACTGGGCATTTAAAGTTTGCCCACAGATTGATGAAAAAGATGATCAAGGACGGTGTGGTGCCAACTGTTGCTACATATGGCGCTCTAATAAATGCATTTTGCTTAAATCGAAATGTGAATGAAGCCATGGATATTTTCAAAGACATGAAAGCTGCATCGAAGGTTCCACCAAACACTGTGATATACAATATCCTAATAGACTCTTTGTGCAAAAACAATAAAGTGAAATCTGCTGTTTCGTTAATGGAAGATATGAAAATTAGGAGGGTGAAGCCAAATACCACCACATACAATGCTATATTCAAAGGCCTTAGAGAGGAGAAAGATTTGGAAAAAGCCTTTGAATTTATGAATAGCATGATCGAGCATGCTTGTAATCCTGATTATATAACCATGGAGATCCTCACAGAGTGGCTCTCTGCGGTTGGTGAAATAGAGAGGTTGAAAAAATTTGTTGCCGGATTTGAAGTTTCTGGTTCAACTGCACAAAATGCTTCTGTGAGGACGTGATCCTTGAATGCGTGTGCTGTCCTGATAAGTTAGCAACGTTTAGGAGAGACCAGAAATTGCTCCAATCTCCCGTCTTTATGGTTTCTCTCTCCAGGTTGCTATGTTTGTTAGGCCTTCAAGCCGGACTTGTTCTAGAGAACTGCATTCTTCAGAGGTGTATCAGTATGAGCATGCTAATCCGGCAACTCCATCCAATTGATGGTGGATTCCTTCCTCTCATTTTGGCGAATGGGAAAAGAGAGATTGATATAGTTGTGATGCTTGTCAAGTTAATTGCAATTTGATATTTGCTTGTTGATAGCAATCCACTGCTGAATCTTTAGATACAAGGTTGAATCTTTAGAAGCTTAGCAGAGCTTAGTATGTCTTGCCAGGGTAAGTGATTTGCATGGTTAAACTCTTTCGCCGGACAGTCATCCAGTGAAACATTTGGAATGGAAATTTCTTCTGCTTTTTATCATTTTGACTTGTGTTGGCGGCCAGGAAAGGCCTGGCTTCTGTTTATGAGCAGAGCGAGCTAGTGGGATGCACGCAATCCTTCGGAAAATAATGAGATGGAAGAGGATCATAAATATATAAGCCAGTTGAACTCTACAAGACAAACGGCATGCCCAACCTTTCAGTTAAGCACATTGTTAATCCAACTAACTGTCATTTGTTTGTTTCTTCTATTTGCGAAAATCTGTCTGTTGGAAAGCTGTCAAAAGAACAGCCGTATTGAAAAATTTTAGTTTTTTTTTTTGGTCCATGATTTGGATCTCCCTGAGAAACCAAAGAGATGTCAAAACCGTTTATGTCCGAGCCCTCGAGGCTGCCGACAGGTATCGTGGATGCTTCCATCATGGAATTGAAGACGCAATATGCCATGAGGTTAGGTAAGACACCCAGACACCACATTTTTTTCCCTCTTGCTGCCATCTTGTCTTCCATGTCTCTTCCAAACATAAAATTTGACAGTAATTACCACACGATTAACAAGATTCATCTCAACCAAAAGTTCTCATCCTCGTAAATAATAAAAGTCTAATGCCTTAACAGAGGGGGAAAAAAGGGCGGATAAATGAATAAACTAATTTACTAACAGTCTACAAATCAACAAAAGGAATAAACTCTTTTACTTTTCCCTGCAGCATTCTCTTCACAGGCACAAGGCATTGATGCTTTGGAGATTCTACTTCTAGCAAAATGATACAAGTGTACACATAACCGGAGTAAAAAAAAAAAAAAAGAGAAAAGCATAAGACCAATGTCAGAGATGCCATTCTCATCTAAAGTCAGATACTTCCGGCTGCTGTGGCAGCATTGTTAGCATGCCAGGGCAGGCCAAAATTTGCAGGAAAATGATCGGAGAAGTAATCTCCTGTGGCCGGACCAACAAACTCCTCCAAACCCGCAAAGAAATCATCACTAACAGCTATATCCGAGAACCCACCAAGCTCATCTTCATCATCGTCTTCCGTTATATCTTTCTCTTCTCTGCTTAACTCTGTGTTTGAAGTATTTTGAGCTAATAGCTCATCTTCCAGGGAAGTTGCTGGAGATGAGCAAGTGGGTTTGGTTGGTGATGATGTTTTGTCAGAATCAATAGCTGTACTAGTTTGTGGTGTTGAGGTCTTCTGACGGGTGCTGCCTGCTAGAGAGTTTCTGTGTGTTGGTGCAGGGTGGTTGTGCTCTGCTGTGTAGGTCACTATGAACATTACAGGGTCGGATCTGTTTCTCTCCACTTGTTTCCGGGCCAAACACCCTTTTGAGCTGCTGCATCTGTAATAACTCCTGTATTCATAGAACAAACCAAAGTTTAATCAATTAGATATAGAAAATTTACAAGCTATGACTCGATACCAATCTGAGAAACGAACAAGAAAAGCAAGCTTAATTATTAAATACAAAAATAAAAGGAAGGCTTTGATTAAATTCAACATGGATACATAATATATTACCTTGGATATGGAGAGCCTTTGATTGGTTTTTGCCCATATTTTCGCCATGCCCACACATCTGAAGAGAGAGCCTCTGCTGGTACTTGGCATACTTTCTTCAGCTGGTTCTTTCTGTGACAACAAAAACATACAAATGAAGTTTATATATATTAGCAAAAGAGTCGCCTTTCTTTTATGAGTGTCAACCAAATCAATTTTTTTTTCCTTGTAGAAGTGAAAAGTAAGCAGATTTACCTTCTTTTGGATCGAGGTGTATGAGAATTTGCACTGCTAGTCACAGAACCGGCATGAGATTGCTTAGGCTGGGACTGTTTTTGTTGTTGTTTTGGCTGTTCCTTGGCAAAACTGGTAAAAGAAGAAAAAGAAGAGATAGGTGTGCAGGATTGTGGAGAGTAAAGGGGCTGCTGAGATTTGGGAAAGAATGGCTTGTACAGCTCATGCAACTCTCCAATAGCATTTCTTGTTTCAAAGGGATCTGGATGAGAGAAAAGATGGCCAACTTGTTCACTACCAAAACCAGAAAAGCAAGAATATTGAGGATAATAATCTGATCTATATCCACTAGCAGTAGTGTTGTTGTTGCAGTTGCTGTTGGTGGTGGTGGTGGTGGTGGTTGTGGAAGTGGTGGAGGTAGAGGTGGTGCAGCCTCTGACCACAGCATGAAGATCCCAATCAATATCCTCCATGGCTTCAGAGACAAGGTCTGTGAATCTGTACCTTCCTTCTGCAACTGATGTTACAGAGAGGAGACAAAAGAAGGCGCTGACTTTTTGAGAGCGAGGGGAAGGAAAAGTTTAGGGGATGTAATGAGTAGGGAAACGACAATAATATATAGAGAAAGAGAGAGAGAGAGAGAGAGAGAGAGAGAGGCGGGGGGGGGGGGGGGGGGTGGAGAGAGAGTGGCAATTTGGGCATCTCAATGTTTATCTTGTCCTTTCCTTTCGTTTTCTCTTCAGACAAATTGAAAACCAGTTTTGGTTTTGGTTTTGGGGTTGACTTGGGAAAATGTCAAAGGGGTTTTGTGGGGCTGGGTTGGGTTGCGACTTGTGTGGCTCTGCCTTTGATGACTGCTTGGAAAGTCCACACGGTGTGTATTTAAGTGGAGGCTTGTGAATTACCGACAAAAGAGAGAGATAAAAATAAAGTGGAAGCCAGTTATTTTTTTGTGTGGGCGCTCCTATCTGAGTTTTTCTCATCACTTCCTGGATGAATTTACCTTTCCCTTTACAGCAAATGTTGTGCACCTTTTTGTACTTTTTTTCTTCTCTAATTAACAAATTAGTGCTCCCTGTTATGCCGACTTCATTTCTTTGTTACTGAAAATATTAAGATGATTATTCTTTCTTTTTTTTTTTTTTTTTTTATACAGTGTTGAAAATATAGGTACAATGCCGTCCTAAAAAGTGTTAAGAGAAAATAACAAACTTGATTTTATTATATCATGACTTCAGTATCATCCTCTTTTGCTTTTGATAAAACCTAGAACTCTCTGAAAACCCAGCTTGATTAAATAAAGAAAATGAAAATACATAATGATTCCTAAAATCATGCCAACTATTAGTATTTGACAACATCTAGAAGATTTTACTAAATAAATCAAATTTAAGTCAAATTGAAAAGTATCCTAGAACAATAATTTTTTTTTTTTTTAAAAAAAAAGGGGTCTATTTATTTTTTTATCCTAGAATCAAATTCAAGTCACACCCATGTTTCCATTAAAAGAAAATTGAGTATAGATGTGTAACTTGTGCATGTCACAGTTGTGTAATCTTTATTTATTTATTTATTGATTAGTTTTATGATGAAGGGATATCCGTATTAAATTTAAATTCATCTCTTCGGTTCTTAAAATTTTTATTTATTATGATTTAACCATTATTTAAAAAACTGTTCAACTCTCTCAAATTCATGGCATTAATTACAAATCGCTATTCTGTATCATTGTTATCTTCGTATAAACGAACATATGAATTTAGCTTTGTATTTCAACATGAAAATTTTATCAAATATTTCTAAAAGAATTGAAAATAAAATGTTATAATCAAATGAATGGATCATGCTAACTGTTATCCTCAGAATATTGAGTCCTGAAATAATGACGAGTAAGGAGCAGATGTTTTGTAATTTTACTTTTGACACATATCAATCTCTTGCACAGATAGATGCCTGCCCACAATCAGTGGCTGTACTTTCTTCCTTAAGCACGCGTCACCAGATTCTGCTGCTCACTTCCTTCGCACGTGCGAAACTGCTTGCTGTGAAAAACACACAAGTTAAGTTGTTTTTTATTTCCACTCCAAATTTCATTCTCTCCACTACAGTATTCTATTTCCCAGGTAAAATCTATAACTGGAAGTAGCCAAGAAGGAGAAAAAGAAAAATATATACACGGACGGTGCTAGTATTGAGTGGGTTGACAGCTAGCAGATTTGGTTGGGCCCACAACTTTGCGGAGAAAAGTCATAGCCGTTACCGGTGCCTCGTGATTCAAGGCGTACCGAACTTTCCCTTTCTTACGAATCCTATGATCCAGGATCTGGCGGTCAGGATTTGATTTTAACTAATCATAGTAATTATTTTATTATTTTCTTGGCTTTAAATGTTCTCCCCGTGAAAAGATCACACGCTCGTCCTGGTTTTATAATTAAACAATTAAAAAAGAAAATTATACATAAAAAACACCTACGGAATGGTTAGAAACAAATAGTTAAATTGTTATTTTTATTTATTTTCTCTAATTATTCAAATAAACTTGTTCCTTTACATATAACTTTTTTTTTGCCATATTACCATATGATTGATAACTTTTTCAACTCAACACTACTGAATTGAAAAACCGAGCCTAATGTAAAATAAGAATAATAACGACATGAAGAATAAATTTAAGTAATTTATGTTTTAAAAGTAAGGAATAAGAATATGCGGTAGAGTGGTAAGAAATCAAGTTATATAAGTTGAATACAAATTATTTTATTAATATAATAAAATAATTAGTTTATTTTTAGTGTGCCATTTATTGTGAGATTAAGTAATAAAACAAGGTCTATAAAACCATAAATAACAAAGCAGTTCCTATTCACAACATAATTATCTTTTATTTTTATAGGGGTAAGGATAGTTTTAAACCAAATTCTGCATGCTCGTTTAAGAGTTTGTCTCTATTTTAGTTTTTTTTTTGGAAAATAAAAAAGAACTCCTCTTCATCCACTCTCCAGTCTTTCAACATATCATCTGTATCTAAAAAAGAAAAAAAAAGAAAAAAACTGCCTATAAAACAAATGACTCCGTAAGGGTCAAAGAAACTTTCTTCTTCTGTTTTTCTATGATATTTAGATTCAAATATTTGTAAAATTCGTTCACCCAAAAAATATAAACAAAAGATGATCCATAATTTTGTGTACAACTTCGTTATTAAAGATTTTCCTTTCTTGATCTAAGGCTGCAATGATACAATTAGCAATGCTCAAATTATCATCTTCAACAATTGTCATGTTCTTTTATTCAAAGTTCAAACGCTTACCCATATGGATAGCTTCTTCTTTTTTCCCTTGATAACTAAATTATTAGCATGGATGAAAAAAACTTATCTTACTCTAAAACCTACTAATAATGTTTACTTTATAAGAGAGATATGAAGAGGAGAGAATTATATATATATATATATATATATATAATTGAATTTAGGTGAAAATATTTTTATTATTTTTAGTAAGTTTGTTCTTTTTTTTTTTTTTTAATGTCTCTCTTCTCAAACTACATCTATAAACTAAGTATTGTTTATTAGTGCTTAAGTATTTTAAAATTTCTCTGGTGTGGATTCAGTGACCTTTAATTTACATAAGTTGATATCAAAACTTTAGGATGCATGACTCAATTCCATACAGCAAGTCTTCAACTTCATGGTAGCTACAAAAATATCAAAAAGTATTGAATATTAGATTTAATAGATATAAGATTTTAAATTTTATCATTAAACCATCTCCTTTAATCTATAAAAAACAACAATTTCATCTCTCTTGAGTATTTTAAAATTTCTTTAGTGTGGATCCAACCATCTTGTTATCTAAACTTTATAATGTATGATTCCATCTCATACATTCATAAAGCAGGTCTTCGACTTTATGGTGGATAGAAAAATATCAAAGAGTATCGAATATGAGATTTAATAAATATAAAATTTCAAATTTTATGGTTAAATCATCTTTTTAATCTATATAAAAAAACAATTTAGAAATTAATGGTTCACAAACAATCATCCCAATATATATATATATGTGTGTGTGATTTTTAGTTCATCCAAAATAAATAAAATGAGACTATTTCTTGTTATAAAAAAAAATATTATTTCTTTTTGTATGTGTTATGTTTTCCAATACTTCAGTGACTTTGCTAGTTAAATAATATTATTTGTCTTTTATTGTTTGTTAGATAAAATGCTTTAATAATTTAATAAAGATGTTCTAAACTTGGTTTTTGATATAAATATTGTGGAAATCCATCTAACACTACAAAAAAACAAAGGATTTGCGAGGGGAAATTAGCGACGGTCTCAAACCCGTCGCTAATTTCAATTTTTTTAAAAAAAAATTTGCAACCATTTTTTGCGACGGTTTTTGTAAAAAAACCGTTGCTAATTGTGGAAATTAGCAACAGCTTTTTGTGACGGTTTCCTCCAAAAAAAAACCGTCGCTAATTCATTTAAAAAAAAATTTCTGTAACCATTTTTTGCGACGGTTTTTGTAAAAAAACCGTTGCTAATCACGAAAATTAGTGATGGTTTTTTGCGACGATTTTTTTTAAAAAAGCCGTCGCTAATTTCAATTTTTTCAAAAAATTGAAATTACTTTCAGCCTTTTTTGCGATGGTTTTTTTACCAAAAAACATCGCAAAATTAGTAAATTAGCAACGGTCTAAAGATCGTCGCTAAACCGTTACTAATTAAGAGGGAAATGGCTATTTTTTTTAACTTTTTTAGACATTTAGCGATGGTTTTAGCGACGGTCTAAAGACCGTCGCTAAAACTTTCAACCTTCTATATAACAATTTGCCTAAAAATTTACAAGAAAAAATTTCTTCTCTCTCTTCTTCTTCTTTTTCTCCAGCGCCGATCTCCCTTCCATTTCCATTAAATCTTCCCCCTCTCTTTTTTATTTTCCTTCCAATCTCCTCCTCTCTCTCTTACTTCCGTTTCTTCCCTCCATCTCTCACTCTTTCTTCCTCCTTTTCCTCTTTCTTTCTTCCTTTCTCCCCCTTCCTCAACCGGCCATTTTCCGACCAAAATAGTCCGACGAAGCCTCTCCATCGGCGCAACCCACTCTCCTCCTTGTGTTGGTGAAAGGTCCTCCCTCATCTAACCTCTTAATTAATTTTTTAATTTTTTTCAATTATTTACTTAATTTAATTTTAAAGTTTTTTGTTATTGTTAATTGTTAAGAAATTTTAATTGTTATTAATTGTTTAATTATTAATTTAATTGTTATTAATTTTTGTTGTTAATTTAATTGTTAATTTTTATTATTAATTGGTAATTTTTAATTGTTAATTTAGTTAGTTTATTGTTAAATGTTATTTATTAATTTAGTTAGTTTAATTGATGGTTTTTGGAAAGTTAATTATTTTAGAAAATTGTTAATAAGTTATTAGCAATTGGTCAATTTAAAATGAGGATAAAAAAATAATAATAATA